TGCACCAATTGCAATAGTTTGGATTTTTATATTTTCTCTACTTCTTACTACCTCACTTCTGATGGCTTTAATGTTGAGCGTTTGCCCAGGTGAGGAAGACAATTTGTTCTGTATGCCGGGACATACTAAAGTCAATAAAAATAGAAGTTGTTACATCCTGCTAAACGTTCAGCGTTTAGGTTATGGCAACAAATGATTCACCCATTGTCAGTATAACGTAACCGGGCAGAATACTTTGCTGGGTGACTTCAGCATGGTATGTCGGTGAGATAGCACTATAAAGACGGCATCAGATCGCGCTATCACAAGGAGGCATATATGGGATAAGCTAATAATACCTGTAGAGAAAATAACGAGCAACGAAGATAATATATAACGTTGTGAAGATCTGATAACGATCCTTTCACGGTGAGCGCCAAAATTCTTCTAGTATCTCTTTATTTTTGCTACGGAGAAAAATTGAACCAACGCACATTTACCTATGTTTTATCGATGTCATCTATTTGATTTGAAATGTCTCACGTTTAATCAATGACTGTTGTGGTGTATCTTTTTTTTTAAAAAGGTATTAGTTCATAATCAATAGGTGGAAGCAAAAAAGCCGCTTTTGTGGTTCGATCTGCGTACTTATTACAGTTGTGGGAACGCACAACGCACCAAAAACAACGTGCGCTTATCGTGCACGCACCGTCCGCACATCGTCCACACATGATGCGCACAACTGTGCGATTTAATAGTCGTTCCCCCCGTTGTGCGCTTCTCTCCACACAATGTGCAATTTGGTCAAATTGGTTGATCAATATTACTGAATGAAAAAATCCGGAGCCCTCGTATGGAACACTGTATATATTAATTGCTCATCAAATTAATTATAATTATGTTTAATTGTACAATGCGTGTAATAGTGGCCGTTAGACTGTCAAGAATTGGTTTAGCTCCCAGGTAACAGAACAGATAAATAACATTTTGATGATTGACCGGAGTTTTACCTGGCCTGTGCCTGATAAAGACAGCTGATATGTGATACCGTATGACCGTTATGAAATCACAACTGGACGTGAAATATTTGTTATTTGCATTCGTTTTGGTCTATAGCACCCCTTCAAATGGATTTTCACACCTAGGCGGGTTACGTAAATGGCCCGGGTAGGGGACACTACGGTCCAGGTACAGGTTCAAATTGGCTATGTTTACCTGTATACGTGACCGTGTCAATACATGCATGTGTTATGTTACATATGTAAATTTGGATCGTTTAAAAAACACCGAAAACACCATTTCTAAATTCAAGAAAATAAAGATAGAAAGATCAGCTTATATTTGAAGCTAGAATTTAGAAATATACTTAAAAATCAAGTGAATATGTTTAAACACGAAGCCGTATTTATTGTTAAGCCACTTCTCATCCTTTGTCCGCACAAATGAGCGCAATCAATAATCGTCCAGATTTGAATCGTTCGCACACCGTGAACACATCGTGCACGTTCCGTGCGCACATCGCTCGCACAACGCACATCGTGTAACTTTGTGCATTCCCACAACTGTATCTGGTATAACCTGAACCCAACATCATTTTACAGAGCATTACCAGATAATGAAATGGTAAATCACGCTGTCTTGCTACCACCTGTTGATTCTAAACTTCATTTTACAGATTGTACACCGGTAATAACGAATTTTGTAAGGTTAAAGTAGCACAATAATTTGAATCGGTGCGTAGACAACCCATTACATCTTGTAAAACCTTAAATCGGTGAATTGTATACTAGCTATATAGAAAACTGTCGAGAAGGGGTTGTCCTTGCCCGTCTCTGGGTCGTTTATTAATTACCCATCCTTATTTATGAAGTGC